CTTTTAAATTATTTAATAATGATATTTAAAATTCGATAGCTTGTATACTATTTATAGTTATCACATTTTAATTGTGTTTAGTGATTAATAATTGTCATTATAACATAAACAGAAAAAAAACCATTTCTTAAATTAATGATCATGATTATTTATTCATCGTTGTCACATTTATATATAATCAAAGAATAGGAGAGCAATGTCAACTATTGGGGTGATGTACAAAAGTGATTAGTACGTAATTTGTAAAATCTAATACAAAAATAATAAGTTAAAGGAACAATTATTGACTTAATTATTATTTTTTGCATTTATTACATGTTATTTTATTACTGTGGATGTTCGGTCAAACTCAAGAAGTTTGGGAAGCTTGGACAATAATAATTATTATTATTAATTGGACAGAATTATTGAACAATAAAAATTAATTTGTTCTTACAACTTCAGATTATTTTATTCATTATAAATTTATCTACAAAGAAATAATATAGAGATATACCTTTGAAATTAGATATTAAATTGTTATATATAAATGATTTAGTTCTTATACATGTTTGAACAATTATTAATTGAAGTTATTCTACTACCACTAACAATGATGATAATAATAATAATAATAATAATAATAATAATAATAATAATAATAATAATAATAATAATAATAATAATAATAATGGAATAAGCCCGTACAGCCAGTTATTCCTTCTCATAGGTGATGGCCTTCTGGGCGTGAGAAACGAAACTATCCATCTCGGTTTCGTTAAACATCGCCACTTTTGCAGTGGGCTAACCACCCCTGCAAAGGACTCTAACAGGTTCCTAAAAATGTACCTGCAACGGCCTCCCACAACCGGCCCTCTTCGGATGAGGGCCATGGAACAGTTGGAAGGGGCCTTACAATACATTCCAATTTGAATCACGACCATGGACCACCCCTACAGCGTCTCAGGTGGACGGAGGACGCCTGCATACTCTGTGGTGCGGAATGCACCCAGAGTTACAACATTTAACGCAGGCGGCGCTTGCATCACAGGTGCGGTATACTCAGTCTCGACAGTGGATAGAAGAGGAGTCAGACTCTGACTTTTCAATATCAGACGCTTCAGAGACGGAGGACGAAGTCTCACTGACACCCGAGACAGCCGCACCGGAGTGGAGCATACTCCCGTTTTGCCCTTCTCTCACTGCAGAACCCCCATCTCCTCCCCCTGAGGGCGTCAATCAACAGGACTTCACCAGCAGAGAGGGTAATTTTCTCCGGAAAATTACGCTCTCTGCAGAACATCTAGCTAGCGCTAACCAAGATCTTGACCATCGGGTACCAGATAGTGTAGACCTTTTTGCACTGAATAATGCAGTCTATGATATGGCTCGAGGGTTTACTCAGGGCAGACGAACACCTGTCAATCCTGAGTTAAGCCTAAAAAGACGCATCGAATAGATTGCAATTAAGATCAAAAAGGCTCGATAGGGTGCATCTCGTATTCAAAGTGTGATGGATCACTTAAATACTCACAGGCCTTATACGCCAATAATTCGGCGTATTGTGGCGAGTATTAGACGTGAACACCACACTTTGAATACGGCCGTGTTACTGATCCCAAAGGAGAGGTACACAGGCAAAATAAGATCGCTAATGGCCATTACAAAGTCATTAGCAAAGCGGTACAAGCGGCACAGGGACAACAGATTGTTCCAATCTGACCCTTCGCGCTTTCTTAAGCCGCAAGCCCCTGTCACTTATGAGCCTCTAAGTGCAGAAAGAGTCGAAACCTACTGGACCGAAATATATGATCACACTAGTGCAATAGATGTAGACACTCCAGCCCTTTAACTTGTCAGAGAATTCTGTGACGAACATCTATCACAAATTCCTGAAGAGTTTTAACGAGTTAGCATTGATGAGATCAGAATTGCTGTAAGGGGCACAAAGAACTGGGCTGCCCCTAGACCAGATGCAATCCCCACCGTCTGTTGGAAGAAATTGACATCATTTCACCAGCATCTGGCTCGTATTTTCTCAGAATATCTAGAAGGAGATACGCTCATTCCTGGATGGCTCGTTGAAGGGCGGACTGTACTGATCCCTGTCGATAGAAAAACGACCGAGCAGTTAAAACTGCTCGACGAACATGTGGCAAAGTCCTTACATGGTGTGTTTTATCGTCATCTCGAAACACAGGACTTGTCACTGTAGGTAGATGAGACGCTATTTCATGTGTTATCGGCTTGACCGATTTTAACGCGCTCAGCCTACATTGGCCGACATAATGATGCCCTAAGAGTGCTGTATTACCACCTTCGGCACTCTTTTGGAATAGTCAAATTGAGTCAGTCGTTGAGAACGGGAGAGCAAAAATTCTTTGGAATTACCCGCTCTCTACGCCTCAACGCATTGAACACAATAAGCCGGATATTACTTGTGAAGTGTTGAGCTCGACCAACAGATTCTAAACACTTAGTTGCGCCTTGGACTTTCCTATTTACCATGAGAGAGTACTAATACCCTCCCTTACCTCGAGTTTCAGTCTATAAGCCCTAGTGGCGCTAAATTAGCCGAACGGAAGGAAGGAAGAAAACGATTAGGGAGAAGGGATGACGATAGGGCCCGCTTGAGGATTGCTCGTTACTTATTCTGTGGCTGCGCCGAAGAACACCACATAATCAACACGGTCCAAAAGAAGCAACCAGTTGCCGCCTTCTTCTCATGATAATGCGATACAATTAAGTCACAATAAGTCATTATAGTTATATAGTCTTGTTTCAAAGTCAGACAGATAGTCATAGAATCAGTCAGAAATACTCGATCGTTAACAAAGATTAACTCGGCGACTGAAAGTCAAAGTTGTCCGAACACTTTCATCCGGATCAACGAAGCTCGTCCGAGAACAGAACGAAGAGGTACTCCCGGTTGCTGAGTAGCTGTCGAGAGGAGTTCGAGTCCAGTGAGAGACGACGTCCCAGAGTGCAGCCTACAACCCCAAGGAGTCCTGGAGAGTTCAAAGGGACTGAGATAGAGAATCCTGAGGAGTGCAGAGAAACAGAATGAGCGAGTAAGTCCAGCCAGTTATTTCGTACATTGATGAGTATGACTGTTGTACTGTTTAAGTCTGTCTTTGAATCAAGTTGGCTGATCAAGTCTTTGATCTAGTCTCTATAGTTGGTGAGAATTCTATTAATTACTGTCTCCCTGTTGCCCAGGGTGTAGTCTCAATCATTGAGTCATTTTATGGATATGGGAAAAATCGTATGTGAAAGTTATTAAAACCTTATCTATTAAATTATAGTTTATATCGAGTCATTCATAGACGAAGTCACTGTAAATCAGGCATTGGTTGATTATTTGAGTAGAGTCATTTTTGCTATTATAGAATAAAATCAAATAACAGGAATATAATTTTTTTTCATTTATTAAGGAAAGATAATACACCTTTCCCTAGTTTTCAGAAGAGTCATGTTATTTGAAGAGTCCAGATGCCTCGATTCATTTGATTATAGTCGTTGATGTTTTATAGTCCAATGCTGCTTGCTAATTATCTACAGTCTATTCTTCAAGCTTAGGATAGGGTTCCTTTAGCGTGCCCTTCCAAAAAAGAGATAAGTTCACTTCCCCTCATACAAAAAGCAAGTGAACACCATTACATACTTTTTTTGACCATACCACCAAACACGTATATTACATTGAGTTCTCAGGCCTGGCTGAGACGAATATACGTGCAAAAAAAGAGAGTAAACAGGAACGCTACAGAGAGCTCATGGAGGTCATGAGAAATGTCTATCACGAATACACAGCGCACGTGATAGTCCTGGTGATTGGCACCCTCGGAGGGATGAGGGACCGCTTTCCGACAGAGTTTCGAACAATACCAGTCTGCCGTAGTCAGGCTGAGATTCTCGGTCATTCTTGGTTCTCTCCGTATCCTGAGACGTCTGTAACAAATGACTGAACGGCTGCAGCTCCGGCTCACCCTCAAACCTGAGGAAGTCGGGTGCCTACAGGATAATCCCGTCCGGTCAGGCCCCAGGTGGGTCGGAGCCCTGGGATCCCTAGCCAGACACCTTTGACGAACCGAAAAAAGATAATAATGATAATAATAACAATAATAATAATAATAATAATAATAATAGATAAAAGAAAAGAATGAAAAAAAAGAAGATATGAACACCCGAAACTCACTGCTGGAGTCGGGAGCTTTACCGCTGAGCTACGAAGCATACGAAAACCAGTTTACTATAACTCAATTTTAAGTTGTGAAAGGGAGGTGGCTGTTACGATTTCATAGAAGCATAAAATTTTGAAAATATTTACAAAAACCGGAGAAAATAATTCATTTTGAATATTGTTAATTCTTAGATTTAAATAAAATTAAAATTGATTGGCTCTCTAGACGCTCGGAAAATTTATGGAGTCGAGTAATTGTAGTTAGTTTTAGTATAATAAAGAATAAAATAAAAATGACCTTTGGTCCTTTTATTTTTATCTCTACTTACTACTAGCGATTAATCATTAGTAATAAAAATAAGTACCAAACATATATATATATATATATATACATAATTAAAAAAAAATTTTTTGTAACAAATTAAAAGTTTGAGGTTTTAGATATGAATTAGAATTGCAGTAGATTATCGAACAATAACAATAGTAGTATAAAACGAAAAGATTGTATAACTTGCAATTAAACGACTCCATATCAAACTCAACCGCGAAATTGACAAAACTATCAATTATTTAGCTTTTTGTCTGATATGTTTGTAACTATTTTCTTGTTAGGAAGAAAAAAAATTAAAGCTCACCTTTACTTTCTAAAATCAGTACCGACAAGTTGACCTTTTTTTTCAAAATGTAATATGCTGTCATTAACCCTGTTAATCCACTTCCAATTATGATAATGTCAAATTCATCATATGAATTATTGTTCATATTACTCGTAATACTAGTAGAACAAATTTTCCTTTCAGATTTAAATGATAAAAATTTTAACTTATTCATTTTATGAGTATTTACAAATAATTTTATTACGTTTACATTAAAATAGCAATAAATACAAATTTATCAGTCTTCTTAAAAGCACAAAAATAAAAATAAGAATTTGTCATTTGTTTTTTAAATATATGATGTTCAATGATGTATGGAACACACTACCCGTACTGTGGGAGCGAAATATTTTTCATTTTTATCGGTATTTTATCAAGCAAAAAATTGAGATATTGATTTTACTTTAAAAGTTTCAATAGCATTACTTTTATGAAATAGATTTAATTTTATCAAATTTGTGTAACAATAAATTTTATTTACGTATATATCCAAAATTCTTATATATAAAACATGTCTGTACAATCATTACACGTCTTATCACTAAAAAAGAACACAATCATTTCCAGAATGTCTTAAAAATCTGATCCATCATCAATTTTTCACAATTGATGATTGCATTTAACAATAATAAAATTATGTTCTGAGAGTACTGTTTAAATTAAACTGGACAAGTGACATTTCAATCTATGATTGCACTGTAAATAAATTCTATTTGAACATTCACATAAAAACTAAAGTAATAACTTGTGTCCATCAAGTATTAATTCTTATCTAGATAAATTATGCAATTCTCATCACTTCTTCGAGATATTTATTAACAGATCTAGATCATATTGTAATTGTAGGTGTGATACTGTTGTCTATGGCCGCAAAAAAGCACGATAAAGTCAAAATCTTTTGAAAAAGATTCTGTTAAGTGAACTCACGATATAAGACTTGACGGTAATAATTTAATAAAATTTTCGGGGGATTCATTACAATCAGTGTGATTTGTCAAATTTTTTAGAAAGTTTTTTTTTAGATATGTTGACAATTAAAATTGGCTCTTATTGTTACACATAGACTTTTGTTAGAGAATTACGTGCTTTTATGACAATTATGCAATTTTTGAGTAAAAACTAAATTATCTTATGAATGGGTATCACAGTTTTTTAGTAAAAAATCACATAAGCTTCATAAAAACTCATATCTAACAATCAATTTTAGTTGCTAATGTTTCGAAAAATAGATTTCTAACAAATTTTTTAAAATCACGAGAATTATAATTAATATAATGTAAGAAATATAATAATATGACATCTTCCGAAAATTTTATTCAATTATTTCTAGTATAGGATCAACCTTTCTAAATGGCAATCTGAGATATTTTTTTTTGACTCGTCTGTAATCAAAAGTATCTCAATAAAATTTAAATTATACGTGTCATTATCAAATTGCAAAAATAGTTAAAGAAAAAGAATATTTTTCATTTTCTAAGTCAATCAATAGAATGGCCCCAGAATATTTCATATGTCTTGAAAGACCATTCAATGAGGAAATAGAAACGTAGTTTTGAAACTATGATAATAGGTTTAAGTGAAAGATTCATCCATAGTAGAATAAGATGAATTCACACTATTAGGAGATGCACTCATAGCCTCGTATCTTCTTCGTAAAATTTCTTGTAAATCACTACATGGACTATTCTCCCGTTTTGGCCGGATTGGATGTCCTCCAGGTGTTCTGAAAAGTTAGATAATTGCTGAAAAATCTTTTTAGGGAATAATTTGTAAATATCATGTATAAATTTCTTAAGAAATAATTATACAGTGAGACCTGGATAAATAACCGAGTTACTAATGTCGTGAAAACGGAAGTTACCAGAAATCATTTTTACCACAAATGAAAGAGTTCTTAATTGAGATAGAAGATAAAATACTGAAACTATTAAAGTAGTTTATTGCATCAACTAAATTTCCTTAAATAAAATAAAATTAGTGTTCCATTAGAATTCTACTTGTCCAGATTTTACTTGAATTATGTTCAACAATAATTGTGATTTTTTAAGTCTTTAAACTGTTCTTTAGTGATAAACTATTCTCAAACAAATGAAGCTCCAAATATATTTTAAAATAAAAAGACTGGCACAAATAAACACTAATTTTTTGCTCGGTGAATTGGCAACAAACCCACCGAACAATATTGCTATAAAAAAATATCATTATTCCTTTTATTCACATTAACTTTTCAATTTTTTCCATGTTTTAAGTCTAATGTAAATTCTTGTTAACGTATTACCAATATCTTAATGTTTTATTGAAGAAGATTATTTAAAAAAAGAAAATTCATAATTTACAAACCGTGCAATAGGCTTTAAATGAACTTTATGTATCTCATTGAGCATATCAGCCATTGATTTTTGAAGTACAAAAGGTTTTTTTCTATCTTCAAGCTTGTGATCTTGTAGACTAGCTCTTCTAGCTATGTGAGGTGTGCTCGGAGGAGGCAATGGTGGTGGTAGAGGAGGCCGTGATGGTGATACGGACAAATGTGTTTCAGTATTTTCATTTTTGTTCGATAACGACACCAATGATGAGTCTAAAAACAAAGCAAGAATTACACGAAAAGAATTCTTCCTTACAAGTAAATTAATGTGATTAATATATTTCAAAAGGAAAATACATCTTCCTGCATACCTAAATATTATTAATATCAAAGTGAAAAAAGCCTATCGTTTATTAAGTTTAGTCATTTATTCTATAAAATTCATACTCTTTGTTAATAGTTTTAAAAATGAATAATAATGTTACATTGATGAGTACAAATTTGTATATTATGTTTCATTAAGATCTTGAATTATTGTTCAAAATAAGTAAATATTCACGAACTTATTTTTAAAGTGTACGAAAAAACATTCTACTTTGATAAATGACCGTAACTGATTTTCGATGAAAAAAGGAATAATAAACTTTAGTTAAAATTAAGTTTTAATACACAAACGCTTAAATTTACAAATCAATAAACTTTCGAAATTCAAACATAAAGAAATTATCATTCATTTCAAATCTAAAATCAACGTTTGCATTGCACAAGATCAGCATTCACATATTATTGAAAAGCTTCAAACAAAGAAGTTGTATAAATTTTTACAAACTAAAGTATTAAGTATTAGTTATGTACAAATAATATATATCTTGAATTATATAAATTATATATAGTTTGAATACGATTTAATATAAATTTTAATTTATTTCAATATTAAAAATCTTATTAACTTCCTAGTCAGATGTAATTATACTGAGTCCGATCGGGTAAATCCCAAATTTTGACGTATCTCTACAATTTAAGGCCCCTAGAGTCGAATACAACAATTTTCAAATAAACGTCTATGTGAGCGTGTTTCCACTTACATGCTTTCAGAATTAATGTTCGTCACGATTATCTCAAGAATCTAAATTAATATTAATTTAGGACCAATTGTATTCAATGCATAATTCCACAACTTAAAACGGATTAGATTTTTTAAACAATTGGTTCAGCCATTTTTTGTATTATTAAAATCTTTTTCAGTCAGTACAATTCTACTGATTTTCATTGATGTACTTGGCATTTATTCAACTAGTACAACATTGTCGGAAATCAATTAATATCCATTTATATCATTTTTAAAAATAAAGAGTAGAACATTAAAGTCATCAACTCTGAGTTTTAATTGAAATTTTAAAAAATAGTTTTTTTTTTAATTCATTCCACATTAAATGGAAAATTTGTTGTTGAAGAAAAGTGAAATTAATTTTGTGAAGTTCATGAGTTCTCTTACATTCTAAAAAGTGTATAAGTACATAAGTATTGAGTACTTACGATGTTGATAACTAGTATTTTGAATTATTTGTGATACTTGTGTCCTCAATTCTTGTAATTCTTGCTCTAATGCCAATAGCCTTACTTCAGAACCGAAACTAATGGGTTCAAACAAATCCGGTTTACTTCCAGACAGTCGACCACTACAATGTAACACATTTATTAATAGGAAAAAATTATTTATCAATGTCTAGACACATGAGCTGAATTGTTATAAGACTAGATAAATGAATAATACTTTACTTTTCTGAACTACAACCATTTATGCGACTTAAATCATGATGAGATCCTTCGTTAATCATAGAATTTGACATAGAATGTAAAGGTGTTACCCGAACGTATATTTTTGGAGGTGGTCTTAACGGTAACATAGATCCAATTCTTCTAACAAGACTTCTCCTCTTTCCCCATACCTTCGGACGCGATTCCATCTGTAATGTTAAATTCCTAATTATTAAGTACTTAATTTACAATATATGACGTACCAGATTTATTTCCTTACTTTTTTGTATTTAACACTCAACTAATTTCAAAATCGGTTGTCGAATTGATGTATGCAATGCAATATTTTCACAAATTACTTACAGTTTATTTAATAATTACATTAAAAACGACTGAAATGAAAAGAATTAAATATGAATTAAAAAATTATTAAAATACGATAAAATATAGAGGTAACAATAATTGAAAAACTTTACGAATGATTATTCAAATAAAAAATTTTTTCTTTGTTACATATCGCCTGTGATATTTGATTCATAGGTTATATAGTCGATTTCGTGTATAATCAACCTAACTAGAAAGGGTACACTGGTGTTCATCAATGCTCTCCCTTTATCATAAGAGCAGTTACTGACCGCAGTAGTGATTTTTTTATATTGAGTTTCCGATCTAGAATTTTTTGAGTTTAGTCTGAATTAAAATAACAATAACCAGTAAAAATTCCTTAGAAAATGAATAAATTGTAATTTACGATTGTCCTGTTTGAACTGTCATCATGATTTTAAGATATAAAAAAAAAAACCAATTAACCTTTTGTAACGAACTTTTGTACAGTACTAGACATAAAAATGCTGTTCAAATTTTTAAAAAATATGCGATTTCCCTATACCATCCTATGGAAAATCACACAGAATTTATGTCCGGTACTGTACATACTTTCCTAACAATGAGAAAAATTATTTTGCATCCTTCAACATCATATTTTTAATATAATATTAAATTTTATAGTTTTTTAAGTTAAACCTAAACTTGAAAAATTCTCAATTGGAAACTCAAGATAGAAAAAATTACCACTGCGATCGATAATTGCTTTTAGGGAGGGGATTAATAAAGCCGAGTGTACTTTGATCTCTGAATAATAATGAGAGTAATAAAATAATCGGTCAACAAACAAGTTAAAATATTTAGTTGAATAATCGTAGAAATTTATTAAGTAATAGAAAACAGTAAAATTTCCGGCAATTGATCAGTAAATTTCTGTAAATAACCGTCGTAATTTATTGTATTCGATCTGCGCAGAAAGTCTCTTTTTCTTTCTCTCTTTGGGTGCTATTGGATCAGAGGAATTTACATGAGATCCAGCATGCTAAACCGCCAAAAAAAAAAGTTACTATGAGCATTACACTCATAATTTATGTTGATTCACACAGATAAACTGAAAAATAGAAAAAATAAAATGATACGTTTATGATCGTAAAAAGTCTTAATTCAATACAATGACTATATGATCCAATAAATTTAAATACAACATCATGTTGAATCATAAATAAATGATAATTGCATTCGAAGAACTCAATTAAGGCAGAGAAGAGAGACCAGTATAGAAGTCCAATGCTATATTAAGGCTGGGCTATACCTAAGAAAAGTTCCGAAGTGGACTTTGCGCCCTTGCGTTAAGCGGCGGAAGGCCGAAGCTCAGTTTCAATTGAAATTGAGTAGGTAACGGGGAAATTGCTCAAAAGATGATAATTTTCAGGGATGCATTAAAAAAGGGAACTCTTGGGGCACCATAGAATTCACAAATTCTTCAATCATCTGTTCCGAACAAGACAGAGAGGGTCGGCGAATGTTTGCCGAAAATCAGTCGTACCAATTTTTGACTGTGTAGTTGGCAGCCTGCGGGCATTAATTAAAAAAAAGCGAAAGGCAACTCAGTGTGATAAAATGACGGAGGGCGCTGCAATCGTTTATTATTGAGTTATGATAATGTAGAAAACATAATTATTTGGAAAATAATATTTTCTTAACTGTAAGATGGCGCCTCAGGATAAAAATTTTAATAGTACAGAAATTGTCAAAAGTCTCTTTAAAAACAAACATTTGACAGATTATAATGTTAAAAGAAGAAATTCTTGAAGATCACTTACATGGTCACTGGAAAAGAATGCAAACCCATTTATATACATATTCAGAGTTAGCATAGATTGGTGTACCAGCAATGAATATTGGAAACGAAGCTCATATTCTTACGTGGAGTGTCAAGCAAATGCAATAGACAAATTAATTAGTCAGGTGAGGTAGCCGAAAGATGCGATTGAATAAATCTATTGCCAGCAGCATTGGTAGTAATTTAAATCGCTTTGGAGGTGCTCAAGATTTAAATAAAATGCTACTGACTGATGATTATTTCAGTGATGTTAATCCACGCAGTATGCGACGTTTAATGAATGTTTTTTATGTTATGGGTAATTTTTGTTTCACATTTATTTTTCATATTTTAAAATAATTGAAATATATTGTGATAAATTTTTTATTTGCAGGAAGACTATTAAAAGCATTCCAGATTGACTTTAATTGGTATCATTTAGCTAGTTGGATCAATATTACTGTGCAGTGGCCTTTTAAACCTTCTTGGATGATTCTTCACTATGAAATGTATGAAGACACTTTTGAAGATTCAATGTCTTTGAAGACATTGTATGATAAGTAAGTATTGATTCAATTGTCTGAAGACAAATGTTTAGAACAAACAAATTGAATTTGAACTTTTTTTTTGTTATTTTAGAATTCGTTCACAAATTCCAGTACTTAAAAACGTTCAACTTCTCTTAGAAATGGATAGAGATGAGCGTAAACTCGATGTTTTTCTAATATTTCATCGCTCCAGTCTTCTAATTAGTGATATGAGAATATTCTTGCCATTTACTATTAATCTTGATCTTTATATAAAAAATAAAATAAAAGAAGAGCAACAAAGTATTGAAGAAGATGTTCATTTAGGAATATATAAAAATCAATGGCAAAAGACAAATGAGTCATGGATTCCAAATAGAACTAATTTGACAAATCGTCATGCTAAATTAGTTAAAACTCCAAGTTTATCGGGACCACCATTCCCACCATTAGGACCTTGGGCTATTCCTCCAGTCTATGATTGGCATCATCCTTGGGTCCAAATACCACCAACTGAACCTCCAGTTAAGCCTCTTCCAGTGACTACTACTTTACCATTGGAAATTCTTGAAATAAAATTATCAAGTTTATTAAGTTAAAAATTTATTATTAGTTGAGTACAAATGAAATGATTGTAAATAGTGTAAATAGATGTACTATTTTATGTTTTTTACTTCACCTTGATAAGTTATTACGAAATATATTCCGAAATTTTTTTAGATAAGATAATGAGGTTCTATTTTTTTTTAAGACCTTGATAATTGCAAGGATAAAAGCACATGGATTTCAATTGGTCAAAATTTTTTTTTTCTTTTTTTCATATTTATTATTTATTGTTTTTTTACATAGTGTTTCATTTAAAGGCTACAAAAGAACTCTTAGTTACATAATTTTTTTATGTTCACTAGTAGATTTAATTAAGACAGGTCCTTATAAGTTATCGCGGATATTATCTTCATTATATTTCCGTTGAACATACTTATAATACCAATGGATGTACTTATACACATGATAATAATTATTTCTCCTTTCATCCCTTGGTAGTGATCGTAGATACTGGAATGAATAATCAGTATCAATATTTTTATTATTATTGTACTTTATCTATAAAATTATAATTCTGATATTTACGTTATATCTTTCAACCATCTGAACAAAGCGTTGATAGCATTGTTCAGCTGTGAATTGTCTGGTCAACCTGCTATCTCTTGTCATTTCGCTGAAAGAAATCATGTTATTGCATTAAATTTTATAGCGATACAAACTTTATCATCGTCTCAATACTGTAAAAAGTTTTTCATACTTACTTCCAATAATTTTCATCCACCAAGTTGAAGACGTCATTCCAGTTGCGTGTATTGAATTCTTTATGAAAATCATTAGTTCTCATAATAGCTAAAATAATGTCATTGTGTTGACCCCCTAAAAAGAATTGTAACTATTACAATAATGTTCGCGAGGAAAAATGAATATATGTAATTAATTTATATACTTAACATGCATGAATATGCTAATAATTGTACAAAGATTGCAAGAAATATCTCTTACAAATGCAACTCTTTGTTTGCGAACGACATCATCTAATGATTTCAGCAGTTTCAATCTATCATATTTTTAATATTTAATACTCATTTGGAAAGAATTTATTTACTTACAGAATACTTCAGCACCGTTTGTATCCATATTTAGGTTTTCCTTTTTATTAGACGGGTTTAATCGTACAATTAACCACGCTTTGCTGCGACAGAATCCTGTTCTTTGTTTTTTTAATGATTCTTTTACTTTATTCTATACGACGCATATTAAGTCACTCATACAATTTTTTAAAATTAGAACTAAGCGCCATCGGCACTTTGCGGTGTTTCCGGACAAAAACGAATGCGAAATAAAATTGCTGTAAAATACTGAAAAACACGTAACGAAAAATGTTGTATTGCATTGAAAATTTGTTTAGTAATTTAATGAAACGTTCTGTAATATTTGTGGAAAAATAAAAAATGAAAATAAATCCAAAAATTCAATCAAAAGGAAAACCACATAGTGGTGAATGGATAATAAATGGATATTCATATCATATAGACAAAAAACACGTAAACAAAAAAGGTATTATGACAACGTAAGTAAATGAATGTTATGTAGAATTGTTATTGAAAATAATTTAAAAATAATAATTGTTAAAAGCCTTGAAACTATTTAACCGTTAAGAGTATGTTGTCACTATTTTCTTAACTTTTTTTTTCGTTTTGTATCATGTCAAGATATTTAAAATGCATAAAAAAAAATTGTAACGGACGAGGCCTCATACACAACAATAATTTTCAAGAAAACCATGATCATAATCATTTACACGACCCGCTGCTAACAGAAAAACAAGAATTTCAAAGCAGTTTGAAACAATGCAGTTGCGTATGTTTTACTACTCCTCGTCAGATATACGCAACTGTACAAATGCAGTAAGTTATTACTTGTTGCACATAAAAATATTTTATTTATTTTATGACAAAAATGTATGTATGAAAATTTTTTAGTTTTCCTGAAGCAGCCGCTGAGAAACCTTTATCTATAGTTCATCGATCAATTCAGAATTATTGTCAGCAATTGCAACCAGAAAGGATCAGTTTAAAACATTTGAACGACAGTTTAGATAGCTTTATCCAATGTTTACAGTTACCAGAAAATTATAATCAACTACAATATGGACTGGGAAAAGAGTACCAATTAAAAATTAAAATTCAGAAATTCACAGTTATAATAGAAAAAATCAACATTCCTGCAATAAACATACTTTTTTTTGATGAACAATTCATTACAAATATGAGCTCGAAAATCAAGACGATTATGATTGATGCCACTTATCGATGCGTACCTAAATTACAACAGAAAAATATGCAGTTGCTGACAATTATGACAAGAGTTGGTAATGAAGCGGATAGAAAAGGAGCAGTAAGTGATCTATCATAATACTTAATAGTTGTCTCTGAAGTTCTTGAAAAATTTTTGTTACATTGAAGGAAATCTGTCTGTAGAATAAATATTGACTTACTATAATAGTTATATTATTCTTGTGAGGTAATACTATTTTTTAATTCATTTCAGGCTATTCCATTTATGTGGATAATGATGACCCGGAAAGCCGAAAAATGTTATGTTAACATATTCCAATTCATGAGGACGAGATTTCCAATGATACATCCAGAAGTGTACATTTCAGATTTTGAATCAGCCATTCATAACTCAATAAAACAGGTGTACCCAAACATTGTCGGCAGACATTGCTATTATCATTATTCTCAAGTGAGTACGAAATACTATAAAATTATTAAAATCTGTGTTTTTATTTTTTAATACTTGACACAAAATAAAGAACAATTTTTTGTAGGCTTTAATCAAAAAGGCGAAATCGCTCCATGTCATTGGTAAAAATATCTATCCAGCAACAGACCCTGACATTTACATTATTATTAAAGAATTAATAGCCCTAGCATTAATACCATTGAAACAAATTGCAGCAACATTCTGCACCATTAAGTCAAAATGCACAGAAGAATTTGGTACATATTTTGACAGGTTTTTACAATATTACGAAAATTATTGGATAAAAAGAATTACCCCATCTGGCTTTTCTGTATACGGCAATCATTACGATAGAACAAATAATTGTATCGAATCATACCATAGAGGGTTGAATAATTTATTACCAAAAAATCCTCATCCAAATTTTTTTTTATGTAAGTTGACATGTATACTGCTCTTTCTCATTTTATTTATGTAACTTGTAATATTAATTGGGTTAATTTTAGTCGTTATCAAATACAAACAAATTGATGGACGAACAACGTGGAATCATTTTATCATTTTTAATCTTTTTTATTACAATCATTTCATTTGTACTCAACTAATAATAAATTTTTAACTTATTAAATAATGGAAAACATACAGACTTCATTAAATCTTTAGGAAACTTATGACTGTTGTAATCTCTCCTTTCACTCATGGAATTTACAGGCAAATTATTACTCATTTCGCTGGTAACTTTGATGAAATATTAAAAATAATTTAGATAACTGGATTAATTAATGTTTTGTTTACACAGTTAGTTTTTTTATTTGATATAAAATAGTCAGCAATAAATGGAAAATAAAACTGTTCAAAGTAAAAACAAACTAATCTAATATCTTCACAAATGTATCATTTTGATATTAATCAGACTAGAAATGAGTGCCATATTCGTTGTTGTCAGGGCTTTGGTCATCAGACTTTGGTGGTTTTTCAACAATAACCACAGGCAGTGTAAGCGGTAGGGAGGAAGACTCATCTGGAAGTGAGTCTGGAGGTACTACAGTAGGTGAGGGTACATCTAAAACATCTTCACATGCTTCTTCGTTCGATGTTTGAAGAGCTCCACAGATCATCTGTTCTTCTAGAGTCACCTAATACCTGAAACACTTATTTAACATACGTTTTATGATTATTATCTTATTATAAATAACTTGAAATAAAATTTCACACAAACATAATAAAATTTTTATTGTTCAATGATTATTACTAACAAAAGAGTCATTTAAAAAATCAGATTGTAGTGTCTATCAAAACAATTTAAATAATAATCAAATATAAAAAATATTACAAGCTGATTTAATCGTGACTTTTGCAAACACTAAAATGATTGTGTTTCTTACTTAGAACTAATTCCGTACGTCATGAAATTTTGTGTACATGATAAAAGTAAATAACTAAGTATCTGATCATTTGATATTATTTTAAAGTATTTTGTTTTTATACATTCTTACCTGCTTTTCCATTATTGAATATTTTGTTGGATCACGTCTTGATGATCCATCTGTTCGACTTGTGGGCTTTTCTTTATCTCCATGAGTGGAATATATTTGAAAACTACTTTGAGACTCTCTTGTTTCTACAAAAAAAAATTGCAAATGTATGAAAAAAAGTATTGCTTGAATACTGAATTAAATATTAATTTAAAATTGTAATACCTTTGCGGTCATTTGGTTCAGGTCGTACAGTAAATCGTACACTACGTGAACCTTCTTTACAAACTGAAAATACTGATCGTTCCTGTTCTCGAAGTGATACAATAACTATTCGGAAAATCTCCCAGTCACCAAAACTTATATTAAGTACTTGTTTTAATTCTGATAAATCACAGTGGAACAAGACTTTTCTAGTAATATTATTTTCTCTAACGATACTCTTATAACTCTTTACTTTATTAGGGTTTAATTCATCAATTTTTGATAGAAGATTACAAATATTATTGACAGATAAACTTGATAATTTTATTTCAAGAATTTCCAATGGTAAAGTAGTAGTCACTGGAAGAGGCTTAACTGGAGGTTCAGTTGGTGGTATTTGGACCCAAGGATGATGCCAATCATAGACTGGAGGAATAGCCCAAGGTCCTAATGGTGGGAATGGTGGTCCCGATAAACTTGGAGTTTTAACTAATTTAGCATGACGATTTGTCAAATTAGTTCTATTTGGAATCCATGACTCATTTGTCTTTTGCCATTGATTTTTATATATTCCTAAATGAACATCTTCTTCAATACTTTGTTGCTCTTCTTTTATTTTATTTTTTATATAAAGATCAAGATTAATAGTAAATGGCAAGAATATTCTCATATCACTAATTAGAAGACTGGAGCGATGAAATATTAGAAAAACATCGAGTTTACGCTCATCTCTATCCATTTCTAAGAGAAGTTGAA